TTAGTTAGTGAAACGTGACACTTTGTAAAGTTCAGTGACCGTTGAAACAATTAACTCATTTTTTGGGTGATATATATGAAGTGGCATTTGTTGAGTTTTAGGGTGGAGGTTAAAAAATAATGTAATATTGATTTATTAAGTGATAATTACAATCTTAATTTTATTATTCAATAAAAATAAATTATTATTATTATTATTGACGGCAATCGATCTGTAGGTTCAATTAATAAGTTAGCAATCGATTATTACTATATATTTTATATAACATTTTCAATAGATTATACATGCATCTAATAAGTTATATACCCTACTAAATTCACACATATAAAATAAAGATAGGGAAAATTATTAAATAAATTGAATAAAATAAACATGAAGAGTCGAAATAAAAGGCATTATTGAAGAATGTATAAAATATTACTCTCTAAATTTAAAAATGTTTTCTATTAATCTTAAGATACGAATTGAGAATTTTTTTGAAGATGCTAAGGCAATTATGGACCAATTAATCTGATGTCACTCTAAAATTCTCTTCTTTGATTGATATTAATATATTCTCGATGTTTTAGTGAGAAAAAAAAACAGAAAGAGAGAGAGAGAGAGAGAGAGAGAGAGAGAGACAAATTGAGTGTTTGACACCCATTTTAATGAGTTGAAAAATTTTGGAATAGTGATTGATGAGAGAATGTGTAGTGAAAAAGTGATGAAAAGTTTTCGATTTTTGTGTAATATTATTTTATTTGGAGATTGTATGGTTGAAATGAAAAAAGAGAATGAGAATGAGAAAGAGAATGAGAGCCAAACATGGACTTATTTTTTTAATTGGTCTGTGTCATTTAATTATTAGTAATGCGTATGTTTCGCCTTATAGTTACCACCAACACTTTGACATTTGGTGCCTTTTTGACCCAATTTTTTTTTAGTGAATGCATTTTGAAATAGTATATTGATAGAAAATGCGTGGTTAAAAATTAATAATAAAAATTTTTGAATTTATATATAATATTATTTTATTAAAAATGTATTATTGAAAAGAATAGAGAATAAAATATATTTTAAAAGTAATAATTGTCAAACAAGGGCATGACAACCAAACCAAAATAATTCAAATTTAGCCTCCGTTTGGTAATCATTTTTCTACAAAAAAATACATTCTTTGTGTCAAATCACACATTTTTGTGTCTCTTTCCAGCCATGAACCCTACTTGATGTGAAAGAAAAAATGTATTATTTGAAGAAAGAATGGCTCCCAAACGGAGTTTTACTATTTGTACACATTTGGTACACAATCCTCTCACATGTGTGTGGGGGGCTCAACACACATGTCCCACACACATGTGAGAGAATTGTGTATCAAATTGTGAGTCCCACATATATATGAAAGAGTTGTGTACCAAGTGTGTAAATATAGCATTTCTCAAAATAATTAGGATAAATGTTATGTAGGGTGCAATCCTAATTGTTCCTTAGTTACGTACGATTTGCGTCATCATTACATGCTCCTATGCTAGAATTGTTGACGAAGTCATCAACCTTCA